TAATCCGGCCCTCCAACAGTTTGAGGGACTGTGACCTGGCCCTCTGTTTAAAAAGTTTGAGGACCCCTGGGCTAAACAGTTAATTTCTCCAGTGGTGCAGTGATCAGTAGGAGCCAGCATGGGTTTATCAAGAACATGTCCTGCCAAATTAATCTTATACCTTTTCCAAATTTATTTATTTTGTGCCAAAAGCATTGCATAAACAAGTAAGTTTAAAAACTGATAACAATTAAGGGATCACAAGCAGCTAAATAGTTTTAGACCAAAACAGGCAACAACAACTGCATTATCTGTAGCTTTAAACAGTTCCTCCTCTGTGCAAGAGGCAGGGCATTGTGGGCAAGCATACAGATGTGGAGTTGTCTGTTTTGCTCCACAGTCGCACAAGGCGGAGGAGTCTTCTAGGTAGTGCCCCTTTCCCAGGTTGTTTTTTGATCTGCCCGCTCCACTTCTGAGTCTGTTCAGGGACTTCCAAGTTGCCCATTCTTGCTTTGCCCCTTTAGGCAGACCCTTGTGGGGAACATCCAGTTGGAATTTGCTGCCCACAGGGATAATCTTGCTGTTGCTGGAGGAATATTTAGAGTAGTGGTGGTTCTCATTAAACTTTTCCTTGATTTAAATCTACTGGGAAGAGACTAGTAGCCATACAGTGGGTGGCTTTCACAGTGTTCATCCTTATTTCTCTCACAAGTTAACAGCAACTTCCTGTCACACATTGAGGGGGGGGGGGGAGTGCCAGCTATCTTATACAGTCTAACAACAGGTGTACATTTAAGATATCCTGTGATTATTCTACATATCTCCAGATTGGACTACTGTAATGCACTCTACGTGGGGCTGCCCTTGAAAATGGCCCGGAAATTCCAACTGGTCCAACGGGCGACGGCCAGGTTGTTAACTGGTGCTCCTTACAGGGAGAGGTCAATCCTCCTGTTTAAGGAGCTCCATTGGCTGCCGTTCATTTTCTGGTCCCAATTCAAGGTGCAGGTGCTTACCTACAAAGCCCTAAACGGTTTGGGACCCGCCTACCTGCATGACCGCATCTCCGTATATGAACCCACATGATCTCTCCGATCATCTGGAGAGGCCCTGCTCACGATCCCACCTGCGTCGCAAGCGCGATTGGTGGGGACGAGGGACAGGGCCTTCTCCGTGGTGGCCCCCTGACTCTGGAACTCTCTCCCCAAGGACATCAGACAAGCCCCAACATTGGCAGTCTTTAGGAAGAGCTTGAAGACGTGGTTGTTCCAGTGTGCCTTCCCAGAATAGGAAACTCCTAGCATCATGTCCCAAATGCACTTTACTAGAGATTTAAGATTGTCTGCACACCGCACCTATCTCCAAAAACCTATCCATCTCACCTGTCATGCTCAGCATTTTTAAAATTTTAATCATTACATTTGGCCCGGCCTTAGTTTTAAATGCGTCGTGGTGTTATTGTCTAATGTTTATTGCTATTGTTTTAATGTTTATTGCTTGTTTTATGAGTTTATTTATTGTTGTATTTGTTATACTGTTGTTTTATTGATGTGTTGGCCTTGGCCTCTTGTAAGCCGCACCGAGTCCTTCGGGAGATGTTAGCGGGGTATAAATAAAGGATTATTATTATTATCATCTCATTTAGTGATATATTCACCTGCTTCACATGGGCAGATTTATGCCAGATGGGGTAGGCATAAGACTTTTCCCCAACAAGGTCTCTGGTTTAGTAGATGACGGGAATACTATGGGTGTCCTTGATCTGGATTCCAGGAAAACATTAGATAAGATCCCCTGTAACATTCTGATTATTAAACTGATGAAATGTGAAATAGATGGGAACACTGTTAGGTGGATCTATAACTGATTGGAAAACTGTGCTCAGAGAGTCATCATCAGTGGTGATGTTTCAATCTAGAAAGAGGTCTTGAGTGGGATGTCTGAGGACCATTGCACTTCAACATTTTTATCAATGACTTAAATGGTGGGGTGGCGGATAGGAACAGAATTCAAAAGAACTTAGGTCACTATACAATTGGAAGGAAATTAACATACTGAAATTCAGTATAGTGAAATGCAAAATTCTATGGCTAGTCTATAAAGACTAAATGCACAGGGATAGGATACTACATGATGGGAGGAACTACGTGCAAAAATGCTTTGCGGTTATTGCTGATCATTCATTGAACATGAACCAGTGTTGTGATGCTGCAGCAAAGAAGCCAAATGCTATCTTATCTTGCATTAATAGAAGCATAGTTCCTGAGTTGTGGGAAGTAATAGTTCCACTTTGTTCTGCACTAGTCAAACCTCACCTGGAATACTCTATGCCAGGGGTCCTCAAACTTATTAAATAGGGGGCCAGATTACTGTCCCTCAGACCGTTGGAGGGCCGGACCATCGTGCAAGGGAGGCTGCACTGCGCAGCCTGGCCTTCCGCAAAGCCCCTCGCAAGGCACAATCCCCTGACACGCCTCACGCTGCCAGTCGGGGCTGGCAAGCAATGGAAGCTGGGAGGGCTTCAAGCGAGAACAGGACGTGGGGTGTAGCCTCCCTTGCCTCATATAATACAGTTCAAAGCAGATATTGTGGGGTTTTCTGCCTTGATTTTCTGAGATATAGAGATGTGTGGAGGGGACCTGGGTGTCCTTCCAGACAGCTGTATAACCCAGAATATCAAGGCAGAAAATCCCACAATATCTGCTTTGAACTGGAATATCTGGCAGTGTGGACACATATAATCCAGTTCAAAGCAGATATTTTGGGATGTTCTGCCTTGATTTTCTGGGATATAGAGATGTGTGGAGGGGACCTAGGTGTCCTTCCATACAGCTGTATAACCCAGAATGTCAAGGCAGAAAATCCCACAATATCTGCTTTGAACTGGAATATATGGCAGTGTGGACTCAGATAATCCAGATCAAAGCAGATATTGTGGGGTTTTCAGCCTTGATATTCTGGGATATAGGGCTGTGTGGAAGAGCCCAGAGTTGGATGAGAAAGCATAAATCAACAAAGAAAACATGTTTATGAAAACACAAGGCTAGGCAGGGAATCACATCCATTCCATCAAAAGAAACAAAGATTGAAAATAAAGCACAGAAACAGCACGCGAGCAGAAACCCTGGCAGGCAATTCCAAAAGAGAAGCCCCACAGCTGCAGCCTGTGTTCAAAACCAAGACAAGAACCCACCGCAGAATTCCTCGCCGCCGGGCATTTCCTGCCTTCCTTTCCCTTCCTCCTCAGCCCCAGGAGCCTGGGCTGATTCTGCTACACGTGTTTTGCAGCGGCGAGGGGAGAGCAGCGCCCGAGAAGGAGGGCCTGTGAGGCCTCAGCCTCCGTTTGAACTCTCCTCCGGGGAAGAGGCGAGCCAGGCTGCCCTCGCGCCACAGGACAAACCAAAGGCGTGGTTGTTTGGAAAGGCGCTTCTCTCAGGGACCTTCCATACAGCCCATCGTGCAAGCCACGCAAGGGAGGCTGCACTGCGCAGCCTGGCCTCGTTCAAAGTATCAATCGCATAAATTTCAATGCAAGTGAAACAAATCACCTCGAATTTAAAAGTTAAGCTTCTAATCATGATCGAGGGCTTGTTTGAAGAGCCATGTTTACTCTTTACATCAACAGCTCCATGCTGTAGAATCCTGGGAGTTGTAGTTGGTGAACCCTATACGGCACCGGCCCAGCGTACCNCTACTCTTTTCCACCTAACTCCAAGGAAGCCCCTCGAGTGCTAGACGAGTGCCTGACCGCTGTGGCTGTCTGCATGAGGACGAACAAGCTGAAGATTAATCCCAACAAGACAGAGGTCCTCCTTGTCGATCGTAAACCAGACTGGGGTATAGGGTGGCAACCTGTGCTGGATGGGGTTACACTCCCCCTGAAGTCACAGGTCCGCAGTTTGGGGGTCCTCCTGGACTCTTCAATTACATTTGAGGCTCAGGTGGTGGTGGTGGCCAGGAGGGCCTTTGCACAACTAAGACTCATGCGCCAACTGCGAACATACCTCGGGAAGGCGGATCTGGCCAAGGTGGTCCACGCCTTAGTCACCTCTAGACTGGATTACTGCAATGCACTCTACGTGGGGCTGCCCTTGAAAACGGCTCGGAAATTCCAGATGGTCCAATGGGCGGCGGCCAGGTTGTTAACTGGGGCTCCTTACAGGGAGCGGTCAACCCTCCTGTTCAAGGAGCTCCACTGGTTGCCGTTCATTTTCCGGAACCAATTCAAGGTGCAAGTTCTTACCTACAAAGCCCTGAACGGTTTGGGACCCGCCTACCTGCATGACCGCATCTCTTTATACGAACCCACACGATCTCTTTGATCATCTGGAGAGGCCCTGCTCTCAATCCCACCTGCATCGCAGGCGCGATTGGTGGGGACGAGAGAGAGGGCCTTTTCGGTGGTGGCCCCTTGACTCTGGAACTCACTCCCTAAGGACATCAGGCAGGCCCCAACTCTGGCAGTCTTCAGGAGGAGTTTGAAGACGTGGTTGTTCCAGTGTGCCTTCCCAGAATAATGATCCCATAGCACTTTGTCCTCCAAAGCACTTTACATTTTAGATCTGCTTGTATGTTTTCCACAAACACCACTTTCACCTTTTCGCCCATGCCCCGGCATTACTTCCAATTTTAACTTTACATTTGGCCTTCCCACAGTTTTAATTGTGTGTTGTCTTATTGTTAATTGTTGCATATTTTATTGTCTATGTTTTTACTTTTAATTGCTTGTATTGTTGTTATTATTGCTTGTATTGTTGTATTGGGCCTGGCCTCATGTAAGCCGCACCGAGTCCCTTGGGGAGATGGTAGCGGGGTACAAATAAAGTGTTATTATTATTATTATTATTATATTATAATCCGCTTCTTATTTTGCCTCCTTTTTCTTTTCCATTTGCTCCTCTTTGGAACTCAGTTGTAACAGTAAGTATTATTATTATTATTATTATTATTATTATTATTACTATTATTATTTGGAGGGTGAAATAAACAAATAGTAAGACGTTAATTAATCTCCCGTTTTAATTAATATTTTATTATAAATAAGAACGAATACATGAAGGAGGATTTCTTTATCAAGATCGAAACATGGCACAAACCTGATTTGGGGACCTCAGAAAACGTGAGTTTTGTTTTAATTTAATTTTAATGTATTTAATGTGTTATTTTGCAGCAGAATATTTGTGCTTTTTACAATACATTTCCATGTACTTTTTTAATGTATTTTAATATTTATTTATTAGAAGAAGGCATTGTTTGTTTTGGGATGTAAGGTAATAGATCTGTCTTTGGCTGGGTTCAGGGCTCTCTGGATAAGGATGAACTTCCATTTCCAGGGCTTGAAGTGTGTTCTAGGTGCAAGGTGAACTACAACTCCCATGAGGGTAGATTGGTCCCCCCACAAACACCTCCAGTATGTTGTGTTGCTCACCAGGGTTCTGTGTTCGAAGTGTGATCCACATCTGTCATTCATGGGGGTCACAGTGGCCTGTGGAAGTGGGTGAAGGTACTGCAAATCCCATTGTCCCTGGTCCATCCTTCCGCAATCCTCACCAAGTGGGTCATGGGGATCTGTGTGGCAAGTTTGGTCCAGGCCCGTCATTGATGGGGGTCGTCGTGGTCTCAGGAAGTGAGTGAAAGTACTGCATTTCCCATAATCCGTGGCACATCCATCATTGGTTGGGTTCACAGTGCTCTCTGGATGTAGGTGAACTGCAACTCCTATAAATCAAGGTCAATTCCCCTCAAACCTCTTGATCAGTTGCTGATCAATTCCCATTTGCTTTGTGTCATAGGGAAGAGTAGGAGAGGGTTAAGGGAGAGGCAATGGGCGGGGTCATGCAAATTCCACACCAATGGAGAGAGAGAAAGGAACCCTGGGATGTCCATTCTGTAAGAAAAACAGAACATCTAGGATGAAATTGTCCCCGAATGAAAGCCTTCACTTGGGTGGGGGACAGGATGGTATTTGGGGAGGCTATTGCCAAGGGTTATTTATTAATTTGAAATTTTAATATTTATTTTTAAACCATTCTTGTGTTATAACACTTTTAGTTTGTATTGCATCATCTGTATCATGTGTATTTTAATATTTATTTTCTGTATTTTAACTTTTAATCTCTATTTTTGTGTATTCCAATCTATTTTCTTTGTATTTTAATATTTTTAACCTCTATTTTTTGTGTAGTAATATTTATTTTAATCTGTATTTTGTGCATTATATTTTATTTTGCATTATAATATTTATTTTTGTATTCTTCATGTATTTCAATATTTATTTTTAAACTTTTAATATTTATTTTTCACCTGTATTTTAATTTGTTTTTGTATTTTACTCTTTCTTTTTATATTTTAAATACTTATTTTAATATCTATTTTTGGGTTTTTAATATTTATTTTTAATTTATTTTAAATTCGCATTATAATATTTATTATTTTATATTTAATCTTTATTTTGAATCTATATTTTAATATTTATTTTCAATTTGTGATTTTAGCTATGTTTTATTTTTAAAAATTGCAAATACACAATGTTTATTTAATAAATTAATATTATATTTAATATTATATTTTTATTATTTTTTTCTGTTAATTAACCCGTTTTATTTTTTTCCAATTTTAATGCAGGTCCATGACTTGGACCCGAATGCCTGGAAAGGGGTCGAGGTCATCGATATTGACATCGCCGACCGGGATCAAGTCGAGCCCGGGGTCAGTCACAGGGTCAAAGGGCATTCCGGGGTCATGGGGCGGGGTTTATATATTTTATTATATTCTATTATATTTTCCTAATAAAAAGGACTACAAAGCAGAGGAAGACCCGGCGTTATTTCAGTCGGTCAAGACGCAGAGAGGACCCCTTGGACCCGATTGGAAGGTATTATTGTTACATTATATATTATATTTTTATTGTTAGATTTGTTGTTATCTATATTATATGTATTATATTATATTAGAAAACATTACATTATTCCTTAATATATTATATTACTGCCCTAAGGTATTATGCATTATATTAATTTTATTATATTATTATATATTATATAAATTTTATTATATTTATTACATTTTTCTTAGGAGAAACCAGTGATTTACAGTATCATATGCTACTTCTGCATTTATTTTAATATAAATATATTACATTTTTCTTATTTTATATTTGTTATTATAATATAGTATATTACTATATTTCTTATATTTGTATATTATATTTGTATATTAAGGTATTTTAGAAATAATCCTTACTTATAATATTATTTATAATATTTTTAATATTTTTATTTCCTTAGAAAGAGCTGGCAGCCAATGAGGAATGTCCCAAAATGTGCGCCTATAAATTGGTGACCATTAAATTCCGATGGTGGGGACTGCAGAACAAGATAGAAAATTTCATCCAGAAGGTAAATAATAATATTCAAATATAATATTATATAAAATACAATAATAATATAATATAATGACAAAATAATATAGAGTATGATATAATATGCTAGAGAATAATAATGTAAAATATAATAATATAAATAAATAATATTAATATTAAAATATAATGATATATTATATAAAATGCAATAATAATATAATATAATATAATGACAAAATAATATATAGTATAATATAATATGCTAGGGCATAATAATGCAACATACAATCATATAAATAAATAATATTAAAATATAAAAATAAATTATATAAAATACAATTATAACATAATGACAAAATAATATATAGTATATCCCTATCCTTGTTCATTTTTCTGATCCTACCTTTCTTTTTAATTGCACTTTATAAAGCAAAATTCAATAAAAATTATAAATAATTTTTTTAATTTATATATATATTAAAAAGAATAATTATATTATAAAATATGCACCCCCAGTAGTGCAGCAGGTTAAACCGCTGAGCTGCTGAACTTGCTGACTGGCAGGTTGGTGGTTCGAATCCAGGAAACAGGGCTAGCTCCCACTGTTAGCCCCAGCTTCTGCCAACCTAGCAGTTCAAAAACATGCAAATGGGGGTAGAACAGTAGATACCAGTCTGGCAGGAAGGTAACAGCGCTTCATGCTGTCATGCTGGCCACATGACCTTGGAGGCGTCTACGGCCAACGCTGGCTCTTTGGCTTAGAAATTGAAATGAGCACCAGCTTCCAGAGTCTGACACAACTGGACTTAATGTCAGAAGCAAAGATGAAGTCCTTTGGCCACATAATGAGAAGACAGGGAAGCTTGGAGAAGACAACGATACTGGGTAAAATGGAAGGAAAAAGAAAGGGGCCGACCAAGGGCAAGGGGGATTGAGGGTATTCTGGGGGTGGCCACGGTCAGAGGCGGCCCTAGGTAATTTTCAACGGTAAGCAAACAGTATTTTGCCCCCCCCCCCCAACCAATCAT